TCCTTCTCAGGGCCGGATTAACCGTCTTGCTTCTTACAGAGATACTTGACAACTCCGAAACTTATACCTAAGGTTCTTGTACAACTCTGTTACGACCACTCTATTAGGTGTAATAGAATAAACCTCTTCCAAGATTTTTAAATAGTGTTGTTCTCAATTCCACAACTCGGAATCCAGCAAAGTAAAAACCACCTGAAAGGATAGCGAAGCAAAACCCTTTCTGGGAACAATGGAAGCTGTGCGAATTTAAGCACTCGTCACGGTTCTCGTTTCCCTTCTTCTTGACGAATTTCCTGAATTGTATTCGAGCGGAGAAGAACGAAACTATGCTTATTGCCTTCCTATACAGTTACACCACTCAGGAATCCAGACGATTACAGACACGATTTCCGTCTCATTGTCAGCCTGTATTCGGAGCATTCGAAACAAACGTTCCACGAATCGGCTATCGATTTCACGGCTATAAAGCCCCGCTGGTAATGGGAATCGGCTGTAAAGTCGTTGTTCCCCAATCAGGTCTCTTAACGCGCTCGAATTTCCATTTCGCGACTAGAGGTCCAATGAAGGGAAAGCTTCCATCCTTGAATCCTTTACCGTTCTTCGAGGAACTGGAAAAATACTTCCACGAGCATTATGAATTTTATAACTGCCAGAAACGTCTCGTCCGCTGTATTCGATATTAATAACAGATTACAGAGATTCCGTGAATCAACGGTGTTCTCGGCCTATTCGCAATCCTAGTGAATCATGGCCGACGATTCGATGGTGGGGAGGGGGATCGAGAGGATCCATTTTTCATCGAGAGATGAAAACTCACAAAGAACTTTTTGAGAGAGAAACGACGACGATTCGATAGACCCGGCATGATCCTGGATAAATTTCCGTGCAATTTCAATACGAGATCATTCCCCTTGTAGACGCAAGTCACCTCCGTCCCCTCCCGGCCGTTTCTACAGCGGCGTGTATACACTGGCTGGGTACGGGGGTAAGACGAGTGGATGGGAGCCTCGCCGGATATTAAAAATATCTTCCGTCGGCAACGGACAGCGATCGACTTCCGGTTTATCCGTTTTACTCTATTTCCAAGGCGCAGCCCGGGTGCTCGATTGGTCGCTTTCGAACCATGAAGCGTCCTCGGCACGATCCATCCGCCCCCTCCTCCGCCCCTTCGTTCTTTTTTGCTCTCCTACTAGAAGCTCTAAAGTCGTGATAGTCTGCGTGGAACATACATATCTCTCCTGTGTCGCTGTGTATTTTAATAAACGACAAGGAACGCTAAGCGATTAATAGATAATAATAGAATAATACAATAAGCATAATGTTATCTCAGCATCGCGATCTTATCCTTTGGTAACGTGCAGTAACGCAATGCCTGCGTTCTTTTAGGAATAGTTTTTATGGTTCGTTTTAACACGTTCAATACCACCGTTTAAGGGAAAAGTCGTATACCATAGCCCAAGTTTTAAATTTTCATAATTAAGCGTCATAGATACACTCGCGTTCATAAGTATTAGGACACGTAGCGAATATTTTTCAGGAGATATTAAAGATCGATAAAAGAAAATCCCAACGCTTTGATCTCATTCCACCCACGACCATTAAAAGATACTTTCACCAGCCGTGCAATCCGATCTTACATAATTGAATTATTGAAACCGTTAGGATACCAACACTGAGGTCTTAATTACCTTAATGGACTCTCGATAAAAATCACTGTCGCGCGCAATGCTCCCATTCGAGAATACCCGAGTTGCAACGGGAATAAACAGGAAACTATATGAAAGCACGTTTCAGTATTCAACCGTATAAAAATTCCCGAGACTCGCTGTTTCCATGAAAACGTTAATTATCGGTCCGTTTGCGTTCAGTCTATGCAGCTTCGTGTGGGAAGGGAGCAGCAGCAGCTTGTTCGTTGTCGTCTTCGTGGCGTTAATGGCTCGTCTCGACGCGGATGTGTTCTCACGATAACCGTGGTGTCGCGCACGTACGTACCACGGGATACGACCACGGAATTCACTTCACGTGCCGCCCGCCTCACGACCGAAAATTATCCGGGAATCACGAATTTCGTTATCGCGCCCGTCGATCGAGCCGACGAGGACGAAATTGCCGAGGGAGAGAATGGCCTCGAAAGGGCGGCGCCCGCGCGATCATCATTCGACTCCCTTCCCCTTTCCCGAAAACGCTCGAAATTATAGAGGGACGCGTGTGTTCGGCGACGAATCTCGGAAAATTGCGAGCCTCTCGTTTTGGCTTGCTCTCCGGCGACCGCTCGAATCGTTTTTCGGACGTGTTCGGACGATACGAAATAACCCCCGTGGAATTCCAGGTGCTCGACAAAGCTTGTACACGAACGGGGGTGGGATTTTTCGGTCCCTGGTTTTCAAAAATATGGGGAATCCGCGGGCATTCAAGTTCTGCGTGCAATTTGCTCGGTCGATGAAATTTTTGCGTGTTCATCCTCGCTTTCATACGACTAAAATAATATATACCGTACTTTCGAATGGGAGATTTTTCGAAGTTCGATTCTGGGTCCCTGCGAAAGATATTTTTGAGGGTTCACGGGTCGGTGAATTAATTTTGTGCACGAAGAGCTATGAATAAAAGACAGGAATTCATGTTTTAAGGGGACTACATGGGTTGGAATGGTTATTTTTTGGATTGATTTAAGAACGATTGAATAACTGGAACCATTTGCACGATTTACAATTTTTTACTGTGCATATAATGCGTATTTTAACCCTTTACACTCGGAATTTCCTAATGCCCCTATACATCTTGTCCCTGCAAAAACGATTTCAATTATTCAGTCGCTTTTCGAACCAACCCAAACGTAACCGTTAATTTTAGACCGCTAATATCCATGTATTCGCATAATATTAAACAATCGTTCGTGAATGATTGGACAGGCAGCATTCATGTTCGAAATTCGCCGAATGAACTCGTTTGTAGAAATTTCAGAATACCAGCTTCGCTGAGACTGTTAACCTATTCGAGGCCCCGGAATGATAGATCATTCCGATTTTGCATTAGTTGATGGATGGCGACGATACACGGTGGCGTTTTTATCCGTTCACTCGCGCCTGGTCGCTCAGACACACGAAGAAAGCCAGTGATCGATGATCGGATTCACGGGCGTAAATGTTAGCCCATGAAATTCCACGGTGACGGTGGAAATGGTAATCGAATTCGATTGAAATCGGGAAAGGGCAAACAGTCCAGGGGGGGGAATGCATGTACGCTAACGCGTCTAATTATTAATAATGCGACGAGTCGCGTAGGTAGACGGATGGCTGTTTGCGCGCCATCGACGCTCGAACGAGATTGGTTGCACGGATCCGTGCATTACGGCCACGGTTGTTCGTCTCTTATCAATGGACATCGTTTCGAATTGCGTCCGTTTCCACGAATGAGCTACACATTTGACACGTTGGGATTCGGAAGAATTGACGGGAATGAGACAGCTTCGTTGAATGGACAATATACACTCCCGTTTATAAGTATCGGGATATTTATCGAATATGCAATAAATGTTGAAAGTCTGAAGTAATTACTGTTTAGGGAATATTGAAGCTAGGTGGACAACGCTTGTTCTACTATACACTAAAAAACAGTTGTCTAAAATATGTAACTTTTACGAAACTTCGTTTAAAACTCGACCTTAATAGTTACGAAATTCCTCAAATGTCCATTCATTGGTGTGCACATCCTATATACCTAAATTTGAAAGTAAAAAAGATTCAAAAATCCTTCATTGACCCGAGTCGTTACATCTATGTAACCCGAAGTACCTTCTTTTCGTTTTCTTTCAATCGGTTCAGAGGATCCGCGGTAATTAAGCTCGGCCTAAGTTTACGTACCGATAGCTCAGGAAAGCTCGAAACTCCTAATTAAGATCCAGTAAGGTAGTCGCTCGCGAAAGGCAGAAGTCGCGAGGGATGGTTGTGCGCTGGTCGTGATCTACTCAGCGAAACGTCGCTAGTTTCCCTGGCTGTTTTACGAGGTCTTTGCCTTCCACCACCACACCACCCTTCTCGGTCGCCTCGAGATTCCGTTTGCTCTCTCGTTGCGTCGTCGGAGGAGCGACCGTGTGTGGGCCATGTTCCGAAAAGTGGAGTCGAAAGGCTGGCTGGTTGGCCGGCCTCGTAAATCGCGCCCTGGGCCCCTGAGATCTCTGATCGCGCGTCGAGGCTGAAGGAGATACGGTACCGCGGTCACGTAGCGACCGTTTCAAAATCCAATTTGTCGTTGATGTTTCGACGTCGGTGCGGGCACCGACGCGATTACATACAGGACGAACTCGTTAAAGTTCGAAGGAACACGACCAAGGTGCACGGATGTCTGCTGGCGAACAGGGGGTTGGATCTTTCCCCTTCTCTCGCTATCTTTCTCTTTCGAGCCTCGAATCATTTGGGGTGGGGGGTGGGGATGGACGAGGAGGGAAACGAAACGCCGTTGCAGCCTGGTGGAATAGTCGGCAATCCCGATGCGAGAGCTAACCGAAATACTGAAACTTGTAGCACACACGGGCCGCTAGGCGGAGAAGAGTAACCGACACTACCACCACCCCCTCGGAGGGTGGCGAATTCGCCTGGGTACCCGTAAAAACCGCTCGTAAAGCCGAGATACGTTCTCGAGGAGAAACGTGGCTTAATATCGAACCGATCGGGAGGGGAATATTGATCGATCCGGGGCGTCGTTTCGCCGCGAAATTTCCGCTCCTGTTCGGCTCTCGTTACCGAAATTACCGGGGAGATCGAACGACGGGGGTTGTTCGGAGAGGGGATGGAATTACAGATTTGATGTTTGGGCTGGATTCTTGGAGCTCGAAGCTAGTTTCTTATCACGGTTTCAATTCGTCGTGCGTTACGGTAGGTTACTTTTGGTTAATAGCTCGAGTGGTAATTCATTGCCCTATGTTTTTAGTAGGAAGATTGTAGGGAATGAAAACTTAGGGAATAAAATGTCCTTCTTTCTTTTCCGTTCCAACAAAATGTACGATGTGTAATAATATAATTGTGCCTGTTACCACTGGTAAAATACAGGCTCAGACACCCTGTAGCTTATTAAACATACCTAAGCACAGGCTATCTAGATCGTCGTAAAACAGTGGTCTAAACGCGTGATTCACACGCTACACTCGCGTGATGATAATCGTTGTGTGCACACTTAAAACACGCTAGTCCTGCACTATTAAATAAGTCAAATTAATTGAATATAAAGTTCTCGGCCGATTAAACAAACGGTTATGGTCGAAAATCGCTGCGATAATTCCGTGACCGGTGCCGAGAACATTATCAGAAACGTATTCGGCGTGCGGGGGAGGAACAGTTGCGCCCTCTCCGCGACACAGAAATTTTCTGCCCGTCTCCGACGTCGTTCATCGTTCGACCCGTTCTGGTTGTTACAGTGAAGTATCTGAGAGAGGTGACGCCGTACTTCAGGAAGGCTTCGATCATCCAAGAAGTCGGCTGGGAGCTTCAGCGCGGCTTTCTCAGCGCGACGCCACCGCCCCCGAAGTCACCACCGCGAGCGGATACTCGTTATCTGCCGCTGCAACTCTGCCGACTCACCAGGTCTCATCCTTCCTCCGATCCCGGTAAGTTCTGTCATTTTCGTGCGTCGCGCGTGCATACACATGCGCAATGTATCGATTTCTGCGGGGTTGGGATATTAGATTCCATAGAAATCAACTTACTACTACTTTTCGTAAAGTTGGTTTGACAAATCGGTTCGCTGAACACGTGATCTCGCGTCGTTAGATCGTGCCAATCGTGATTAATCTTCAGTAAGTAAACGTCATCGATTTGTTAATCACAAGTTCAGAACAATTTGCTTATGAAGTCAGAACAACCCCTGACACTTTTCTAGTTATTTCCACATCAGTCTTAAGATTCTTTGTACAGAGTGTGTCCCACCTACCACGAGCACCCCGAATATTTCACTTAATTTCGACTTTCAGAAACATTATTTCAACGAATGCTCAAAGTGATGTCCATGAACTTCGACATATTTTTTCACTAATCCCTCTATGTAAACTTACTTCCTTACATTTGTGGACATTTCGTACTCAAGGTTTCGTCCTTCTATTCTCCGGTGGAGTTGAACAAGCGCATCAAGGCAACCGTATTAATAAGCCTCCCGATGTTTCCGCGTCGAATGTAATTTATCCTCAGGAAATTGAGCCGAGCATTGTTCCCGCCATCGTTCCCACGAACCCATCAGCAACGGGGGGCCACGGCGTGGTGGTAGCGATCCCAGCACTGTCACGAAGTGTTCGCTCGGCCGAACTTCGTTTCTCCGTTTCGCGGAAATTCGGAGAAACTCCTATCTTCCTCTCTCTCTCTCTCTCCCTTTCACCCGTCCACCATCTCTCACTCTCTCTCTGTCTCTCTCTGGGTTGCAGTGGGAGCGGAAAACGCGTTAACGTAACGACAAGCGACTCGAAGAAGGCGGGGCGCGTTAATTAACGCTGGGCTTCCGTCGAAAAGGGGGTGAAAGAGAGAGAGAGAGAGTAGAGCCTATCCGCTTGTAGGGCGACACGCCAGAGACGGCTGTTCCGCGATATCCCTCCGCGTTGGCGGCGCTTTTCTCGGCTTCTTTGAGGCCTGGATACGCGCGTATACCGACGCGTGTGCACCGCCGTCCGCTTTCAAAACTCTTTCGGAATAACTGCCGTGGCCGTAGTAGCAGTCAACGTATACCTACTCGGCGTTGACCGTAAAAAGAAGCGGATTCGAACGTGTATGTACATACTCGGCGTAGCGTGGCGCAGCGCTACGTCGAGAAATCAAATAAGCGACAGGAGGGAGAATTTCTCTTGCCCCGCACGTTTAGAAGTAAACGTTTCAGCGAAACGTTTCCGGGATTACGTGCGCGTTCTCGTTGCCGCCGCCTCCGCCGTACCCTCGAGAGAGAACTGCATGCTCAGCGACCGAGATAATGACAGCCATAACGCAATTAACCCGTTTCTGGGATTACGGTTCGAACGACCTAGCGCGCGCGCGCGCGCGATCACGATATGCCCGCGAGGAGTTTGACAGTCAATTATCGTCTAATGGAACGATCGTCCTACCGAAAAGTATCTGTCACGATTTGTCTGAGAGTTTTGAGTATCATCTTTGTTCGTCTTCTGTTGGAACAGTTTGATCATTTCGATTGACTTTACTAGATTCCTGCGTGACTGATATCGTAAGATATTCTTTATCTACGAATTTTGTAGAATAATGGGAAAGGAAATGACTAAAGTTGTAGAATATTTCCTGAGACATTCTATCGATACACGCTGTCTGTGGTTGGTAGGATTCAGGTTTCATCGCGGTGTATCCCCTCCGTCTGATTCCTCGAGGGACAAAGAAAGGGGTTAGAGAAGTGTCTCCCATCTCCCTGATCCGCCGTCGGGTTAATGAAAGGCTAATGGGCTCTTAATTCTGTAGAGCTCGTCCTCCCCCAGGTGCCCCCTTCGTTCGTTCCCCTCGAATACGTCAACCCTCTGACATTTCTTTCTCCTCCTTCCATATCCCTCTTCTTGTCGTCGTATTCTTCATTCTTCATCGGAAAGTATCACCTTCGCGTTCCCCCCCTCCTTAAAAGAATCTCTTCTCCCTTCCGGTTCCCTCATCTCCGTCGTCTCTACTGTTCATCGTCGCATTTCAGCCCGAGAAGATCTTGTAAATATACCATTTATTTATTCCCTGATTTCTCCTCCGTTACCTCACCTTTCTCTCGACGCTCTCTTCGGTAACGAGCGTCCCTCGACGGGACCACACTGTCTTTCCTCGGCTGGAAAAGAGGAAACTGCGGCCCCTCCGGAGAATAGGCCGATACGAGATGTAACTACGGACGCAGAGTGGAGGGAAGGAATGGTCGAAAGGTAAAAGGGAATCGTGGTGGAATTGAAGGAAAGCAATCAGAAGCGTGCTGTATCTCCCGTTCGCATCTGCTGCACACGGCCCCTAAGCCACGACCACAAAGGAGGCTGCTCTCGCCTCCATCCCGACGCGTTGGTATTTTTTAAATCAACAGCAGACGATCCTCTTTCGCGCTCGCGCATCGCCACGGATCCTCCAGACGTTGTCTGCTTGTTTATCCTGCATTGCTACGCGGCCCTCGGGGACAGTCGACGGATGAAAGAATGGCACCATGGGATCTTTACAAACAGTTCATTTGGTTTACCGTTCGGATGAACTGGAAATTAAAGATAAAGACCGAGCGTATACATGAACAGGAAATTTCAAGAACGCCACATCTCGGAAAAATTCGAACATCTTCCCTCGGTTAATATATGTTGACGGGTGGATGACATTGTCACTCGATTGCTATATGATCCTAATTAACAGAAAACCAAATGATTATAGAATAACCGGTAGAAAATAATTCTTAACCTGGTATATTTTTATAGGACCAATAATTACAGGGTCCTCAAACTTCGACGATGATCAGGATTAAACCGTTCGAAAGCCCCCGAATATCGTTCATTATTCCTGTCCCGTGATTCCGAATTCTAGTCGACCAAGCCGAGCGGGAACGCAACTAAATATTCGGTAACACGTTTCTCCGCATTCCGCGTGAAATCACGATCTCGGGGAGCGGAAAGAATGCGCGAGGCAGACATATTAATGGCGTTCCTCTCGCGCGGGATAGTATACCTATTCCTGGATGAATTCGCGGCGCGTCTCCGATCGCACGGACGCGTTAAAATTTACAGTAAATCCCTCTCGCGAGAAAGAACGAGATAGAGAGATGGAGGGAAGCACCATCGAGGAACGCGTCACGTTCGACCGGAATATCTTTTCAAGAGTTTATCCAGATGCCGTGGATTTCCGTGGGAAAAAGGTTATTTACAATTTATCGCGACACGTACCGGGAGGTTATACACCTGACGGGTAGGGTAATTGTTATTTCGCAGCCGCGCGAAAATATGATTTTATATAACACCGTTCGCCGGAGGAAAAATCCTCGGGGGGGTGGCGTGGTTTTCGCACCCCTTTACTCGTATATTACGGTAGAATCGTTATATTTGATACAACCGTGAAGCGAGTTCACCAAGCCTCTTTGTGCCCGTCTCATCCCCGTTCTCTCAGCGTTATTTCTCCCTTAATCCTTCCACCTTCCCATCCCTTCTGTCTTTACTCTCCTCGATAACAAAGAGTCTGTAACATTAGTCTGCGTTGCGTCGCATTAAGACACTCGGATTAATGATGAAAACATGGCCCGTGGTTGTTATTACAGTTGTAGAAGAAAATGTAATTTCTGGTCACAGAAAAGCTTCCCGTAATTTCTCCGTTAGAACATTCTTAGATAAAATTCCACCGAATACAGGATATATCAATTCAGCGATCCGACAATTTTAACCCGTGATCAGAAAAACAGTCTAGATATTTACTTCCCCCTAGAAGATATATGTACGTCCAATCAAGAATCACTGCTGTTTGACCAGTTCGCAACTTCACGGTTCCGAGGATCGCGCAACTATATCCCAGCCGATCTCCCCGGCCGATGGTTGGTGCGTTCGTTTCACTTAAACGTATCAACAGTGCATTAGCGGACACTTTATTGACACTGGCCCACGTACCCGCGCGAGTTCTCCGGGAAAATGAAGAGCCCCACCTCCCGTTGACCGAGAGCAAACACAGAATCGACGGTAGGCAGCCAGGCTCACCGATATTAGACGGGAGTGTGTAAAAAAAGGAGATCCACCGGTGGTTGGGACAGAAGAAGGGTTGGAGAATATCGGCTGCGAGTCGTCCAACGTGGGAGGAGGAGAAGGGGGTGCACTATTCGCGAATTAAAACGCACCGGCGGACACGCGAACGGACACAATGAGAATTGGCTAATTGAATTAGCAGGCCGCCGAGAGAGAAAGGAAGCCCGAGCCGGATAGGTAGAGGCTTCCATAACCATCCAGTCCGTCAGTTTTAGGCGACGACTCTCCATTAAAAGCAGCAGAGACCCCCAGGTTGCCCTGGAACGACGGAAAGAATGGCTTCTGGTGGTCTACCCAATTAAGATCACCTGTTAATTGCCATTGAGGATATATCGAGGGATCCGCGTGGCGGGGGGCTTCTGGCATTAATTCGCGAAATCCTCCTCTCATAGATTTTCTGTTCTCTGTGCCTGTATAGACCGACTCCATTATCCGTGCATCGTAAATTCAACTCGGCCAGGTTTCCACCAGACACACTGCGTTCGAGAAATCTAATAATTTTCTGTGGCTCGAAACAGTACGTTACCTGTATCCGTGAACGTACCCTCCTCCCTTCTGTTTTAGATACAAACATTCGAGATATTTCCATTGGCAAAAGTTCTAGAGCCATATATGAAACCGCACATACGTTGGTCCAACTGGAAGACCACTCGAAAGGAGAGAGAGAGAGAGAGAGTTTCACCTATCCGGGTCCATCATCAACAACACTTCCGTCTACCGATATGTTCGAAGAAGCACCGGTCCAGGATATATGTATACATATGTATGCTGCTTCGAACCGTGCAACGAACCCGCTAATTAATGCCGCCGAGTGGCAGCCCTCGAATTCGATCTCTAGGTTTCGAGTGCTTTGACCGTTCCCCGACATACTTTCTTCTTCTCCCCTTTGCCAC